GAGCTGGCGCTGGAGCGATGGCCGCGGGGTGAGGGGGTCTGGAGGCGGCGGGACCAGGAGGTGGGGGGCCTCAGTGCGCCGGCCGGGGGCGGGGCCTGTTGGGGCGGGGTTTAGCAGAGACCAGGTGGCAGTCGACAGGTAAAGGAAAGCAGATTGGAGCCCAGCCCCGGAATGGGTTCTGCCAGTACAGGCCTCTTGCTCACCTGTTCCCGGGAGGGTGTGGCCTGCGCCTCGTACCCCACCTCCCCTTTCCTTCCACCCCTCCCCGCTCAGTTCTCTTACCACAATTTCGACCGGAGCCGGCACGACGACGACAACATCCGGAGCTGTGCAGTGCTGGACCTGGCCTCCCTGCAGTGGGTGGCCATGCAGTGCGAGATGCAGCTGGACTGGATCTGCAAGATCCCCAGAGGTTGGATGGGGTGGCCCTGGGGACTTGGGTGGAGCTCCACGGGCAGCGGGATTGGGGATTGGGGATTGGGGAGGATCTGCTCTTCCCAGCTGCATCTTTGTCTGCCATTGCCTGTACAGGGACAGACATCCGAGAGCCCGATGACAGCCCACAAGGTGAGATCCCTCACCCGCAGCCCAGCCGCAGACCCCGCAGCCAGGACAGGGAGGGAACGCCACCTCCAGGACAGGGTTCTGGTGGGCGGCAGTGAAACGGAGGGGGTGAGTGGTGCCAGCCTAAGAAAGGGGACTGAGTTGACCCAGATTGGGGCACCTGCATTCCTGTTTGCCTGCATCTCGGAGGGGCAAGCCCGGTCTGGACCCTGGCGTGGGGCCTGCAGAGGTCTGATGTGCTCACAGACCTGTCTGCTGCCAGTCCTGGCTGCGCCCTGGCCCTGAGTGGCTGCCTGATCTGGTCCTGTCGGGCATCTGCAGCTTGGTCCACGCTACCATGCCTTGTGCTGCTCCCACAGGCCCGCTAGAGTGGCAGCGCTTCCAGGATGCCGAGTACAGGTTCTTTGAGCACCAGGCCACGTGGGTGCAGGCACAGCGCATCTGCACCTGGTTCCAGGCCAAGCTGACCTCTGTGCACAGCCAGGCCGAGCTGGACTTCCTGGGGCAAAACCTGCAGAAGGTGGGCACAGGGGGAGAGTCACGGGCTGGGAGAGGGCAAGCTGGGATCGCCCAGAGGGACCGCCAACCCTCACCTGTCTGCCTGGCTTCCCCAGTTCTTTCGAGGCCAGGAGCAGCACTGGTGGATTGGCCTGCATACCTTGGAGAACGATGGCCGCTTCAGGTAGGAGCCCTGGGGCAGCAGGTGTAGGAGGGGGCGTGTCAGCCGCATCACCAGACTGGCCCTCCACAGCACCAGGGGTAGAGACAGACCTGTATTTGAATCCAATTCTGTCCTCAGTGGCTGTATGGTCTTAGGAAAGTGACTTAACCTTTCTGGGCTGTGGTTTTCTCATCAGGAAATGGGAGTAATGAGCCCTGCCTGATGTGTCCGCATTGTAATGACCTACGTGAAGTCCTTCACACAGGGTCCAGTCACTAAGGAACGGCCACTCCTGTTATTCCCAGCACCTTCATCTTGAATAAGGCGATCCAGAGGAGGCTTTTTGTATTTGGTGCCCACCTCCCTGCCTCAGGGAGCTTGAGGCAGGACGGACTGGGGGCCACCAGAATCTGAGTACCCCCTACCCTCTGCTCTGGGTTTTCAGTCTTCTTTTCTTTTCTTTTCAAGAATTATTTAATTTATTTCACATGAGTTTTGCTAGAGAAAGACAGAAAGAGTAAAGGGAGAGTTAGAAAGCAAACCGCCAGGTCTGGGACTCAAACCACAGTTAGCTACCCCTGTGGGAATTCCAGCGCCTTAACAACCATGCCACCTGTTGGCCAGCGCCTTAACCACCATGCCACCTGCTGGCCCCTTCAGTCTTCTTTCTAAGTTAGAAAACTGAGTGTGCAGGGAGGGCTGGTGCCGGGCTGCACTGGGAACAGTAGCTACTACCTCCCACCCCAGCCTGCAGCCCTAAAACCCTGGACGTGGCCCTGCCCTGCCCCTTTTCCCCAGCCTTCCTTGCGGCTGCTTATGGTGAGGCTGCACCCTGGGCCAGTGCTGGTGTCACCCCTGCTCTGTGCCATTGTAGGTGGATAGATGATTCCGTTGTCGACTTCATCTCCTGGGCACCTGGCAAACCTCGGCCCCTGGGCAAGGACAAGAAGTGCGTCTACATGACAGCCAGCCGAGGTGAGGGAAGGCGGGGACGGAGAGGCTGAAGCCAGCCTTGGTCCATGTTGGGGCGGGAAGGTGAGCCCAGGCAGGGGCCGTCAGTCTCTTCTCATTTCCTTTGCTCTCATAGCCAAGAAGGGGCTAGACCTGAGAAAGGGCGGGCCTGTCTCCATGGCCCCAGAGCCACGGAGGACTTGGACTTCAGAATGGGACATAGGCCTTGAACCCCAGCCCAGCCTCCTCTCAGGGCAGAGGCTGAGTGTGCTGCCAGCCTTGCCCTGCCCTGGGGGTGACCACCTTCTCCTCCCCTTTCTGCAGAGGACTGGGGGGACCAGAGGTGCCTGACAGTCTTGCCTTACATCTGCAAGCGCAGCAACAGCACCAGCAAGATGCCGCCCCCTGACCTGCCACCTCCAGCCCTGGGGGGCTGTCCTGCTGGCTGGAACCAGATCCTCAACAAGGTAGGAGGTGGGGAGGGGGCACCCAAGGGAGTCAGGAGAGGATGTGAACACGGGAAGGCTGAGCCTCAGAAAGCCTGGCCCTTTGGCAGCCTCAGAGCTGTGGCCTCTTGCCTGTCTCCGCGGCCCCACAGCTGCGTCGGACCAGCCTCTCTTTGATTTGCCTCCCATGGCAGAGCTTGAGTCCTAGGAAAATGACTCAGTGTAGTAACATCTCCTAATCTATCGGGGAGCAGGGTGAGTGTTCTGTTGATGCATCAGTGGTAAGCTAAGATTTGGATAATGAACTTCTTTTGGTATAAAACGTTGAGCATACATACCCAAACTATGTGTGTGAACATTTCAGTCACGTACATGTGTGTAAATAAAATATATATTTACTTCCACACTGACGTAACAAATGTATCTATAGTAAAATATGAGCAAAACAATATAAAGCATGAGCTAAGATGAAAAAATAAAATTAAGAAAATTTATTGAGGGGACAGCAGATGGCATAATGGTTACGTCGCTGGACTCTCACAGTTGGCCACAGTTCGAGTCCCGGACCCGGTGGCTTAAAACTCACGTTGGGTATGTTTGTGTGCATGCCCAAGCTCTGGAGAGAATGGAGGAGAAGGGATTATGTCATGGCCGTCTCCCCTGAGGGGTGATTTCTCACTTTCTGTCTCTCTGGTGAGCACGTGTGTTCTATAGCAAAAAAAAAGCTCTCTAAAAAATGTACTGGGCTATGAAAACATGTTTGTGCTCATTCACAAAGTGATCAATTGTAATAATTGTTAATATTTAATTTAAATAAGAATACTGTGATTGTATAGCCTTTATTATTTCAAACTTAAAAATTTTTTTAAAGCTTATTTATTTGTTCTTTCCAAGGGTAAAAGAGTGAGATAGAGGGGTGGGCACCCCAAACAAGGTCTCCATGCCACTATCCCCCACCCGACCTCAGCCAGCCTGGATCACAGGTGCACACGTGCCCAGAGTGGACCCAGGACCTTCTCATGTGGGTGCAGTTGTGTTACTGCTGCACCATTGTTTGGCCCTTCTTTTCTGTTTTGTGATATTGGGTGTGTGCTCTTGCCAGAGAGAGAGAAAGAGAAAGTGAGAAATCACCCCCCAGGGAAGATGGCCACACTGCAACCCCTTCCCCTCCATTCTCCTCTCGGGATTTTGGGCACACATGTACATGTACCCAGGTGTGATTTTCAAACCACCAGGCCTGGGACTTGAACCTGGACAGTTGGCTATGTGGGATCCAGCCACCTTAACATCCATGCCATCTGCTGGACCTGTAGTTTGAAAAATCGTGATCTGGCACTAGTCTTGTCTTGCAGGTCTTATTTTTGGAAGTTCATATTATTTCAAAACATGGATTCAATGGTTGGTGTAGAATAAAAAGATGCCTCAAAAAGACAACTAGATCAATGTGAGAAAAGTTTACCCATTGTTGGCTGAACTTTCTAAAGAATGCCGTTAATTTTTCAGTTCTACCTATTCAACAAGGCTTTTGTTTAAAAACTGGCTAGCAAATTTCTATCTTCAAATTTCCCATATCAATAGATCAGGAGACATGATCAAGAGAGTTGAAAAGAAGTATTTGGAAGATTTTTTTCTTTTAAATTTACCAGAATGCATGTGCTTGCTGGAGAAAGAGAGGGAGAGAGAGAGAGAGAGAGAGAGAGAGAGAGATCATTCCCCATGGTGTGTGTGTGGGGGTGCCATTATCATGCGACAATCCCTTCTCCTCCATTTCTCTCTCTTTTTTGTATTCTGGGCATGCACAGGTGCCCGGCGTGTTTCGCAAGCTGCTGGGTTGGGAGCTGAACCACGCAATCAGCTATGTGGGATTCAGCAGCCTTAACCACTATAGCACTGGCTGGCCTGAAGATCTTTTTAAAGCAACATTTAGAAAATTGTCTTCCTGCATCTCAAGTGTGCAGATAGGAAAGTTTGGGGCAATAATGTTAGCTGGAATGGTGCGTCTCTAAGCATGTTTTCGTAGTGCAACCTCTAGAGTGTGAGTTTCTTCCCCAGAGTGGTCACTTCTGTATCCGTTGGCTCATGTAGTGGCCCCTTCATTACCTGGTGGCTGACCAGAAGCTCGCACCAGGAAGAGAAGGTTGTCATTCCCTCGCATGCCGACATGAGTATTAGCTTCGAGCTAGGGCTTCTTTGCAGGACTTTTTAAGACCGTGTAGCCTTATTGTGAGGATTAGATTAGTTACCACCAGATAATATAATCCGTAAATCCTTGTCAGACATTGGAATGCAGCCAGCCTCTTGTGCCATGGACCTCCTATCCTTTTAGGAACATTCAAGAGAGGATTATACCTCTACAAAAAATAAATAAATAAATAAATAAAAAATAAAAAAGTCATGTGTATTATTTCAATTTAGGAAAATACTGAAAGGAAGAAAACAGAACTCGCCCATACTGCTCACTTCATTTTTATCACATTATAGGCATGAGGGGCTAATAGGTGGCATGATGGTTAAAGGTGCTGGACTCCCACATGGCCAACTATGGTTTAAGTCCTGGACCTGGCTGCTTGCTTTCTCTCTCTCCCCCCACCCCGATCAAATTAAAATAAAGAAAGTTAAATGAAATAATTCTTTATTAAAAAATTATAGACACGAATATATTGAACTTGCAGCTCTGAAAAAATGCAGCTATGGAAAAAAATTGAACACTTAAAAATATTCACAGGTGTGTGTGTGTGCAGAAGGTGGCCCCCATAGCCACTAGCAGGTAGTGTGGTGGTTAAGGCACTGGACTCCACATGGTCAACTGTGGTCAAGTCCCGGCTCGAGAATTGCACCAAAATCCTGGGAGCAGAGTGAAAGAGAAGAGATTGTGGTGTGGCATCACCCCTGGTGGGTGATTTCTCACTTTCCCTCTCTCCGTCTCTCTCTCTCTGTCTCTCTGCATGCACTCTGTTGCAAAAATCTAAACAAACAAACAAACAAACAAAACGAAAATAAAACTCACCAAGGAAGAGAATTTTAGACAGGTTTCATTGGGTATTGGCCAGTGTCAGTGAAATAAAAGCAAAACCAGTAATAGCAGCAGCACTTACAAAAGAAAGAACTAGCTTTCTCTGAAAACAAGTATGTAGATTTTCTGCTAACATTCTGAGGTAAAGAAAAATCTTCTGTGAGAAATAACTACAGTTAACTAATCAGTTTTAGAACTTCTAAACATTAAAGATACTGAAATCTCTGAAAGCTCTAAATCAGAATTTAGTCATATACAAGCAACATGTGTAGAAAAGATTTAGAGTAGAAGAAAATACATATTATAGCGATAAACATAGTTTATTTTTTTTTTAGGTTTTTGCCATTGGATGAATGTAATCATGAGAGAGAGAGAGACAGAGAGAGAGGGAGAGATCATTCCCCATGGTGTGTGTGTGGGGGTGCCATTATCATGCGACAATCCCTTCTCCTCCATTTCTCTCTCTTTTTTGTATTCTGGGCATGCACAGGTGCCCGGCGTGTTTCGCAAGCTGCTGGGTTGGGAGCTGAACCACGCAATCAGCTATGTGGGATTCAGCAGCCTTAACCACTATAGCACTGGCTGGCCTGAAGATCTTTTTAAAGCAACATTTAGAAAATTGTCTTCCTGCATCTCAAGTGTGCAGATAGGAAAGTTTGGGGCAATAATGTTAGCTGGAATGGTGCGTCTCTAAGCATGTTTTCGTAGTGCAACCTCTAGAGTGTGAGTTTCTTCCCCAGAGTGGTCACTTCTGTATCCGTTGGCTCATGTAGTGGCCCCTTCATTACCTGGTGGCTGACCAGAAGCTCGCACCAGGAAGAGAAGGTTGTCATTCCCTCGCATGCCGACATGAGTATTAGCTTCGAGCTAGGGCTTCTTTGCAGGACTTTTTAAGACCGTGTAGCCTTATTGTGAGGATTAGATTAGTTACCACCAGATAATATAATCCGTAAATCCTTGTCAGACATTGGAATGCAGCCAGCCTCTTGTGCCATGGACCTCCTATCCTTTTAGGAACATTCAAGAGAGGATTATACCTCTACAAAAAATAAATAAATAAATAAATAAAAAATAAAAAAGTCATGTGTATTATTTCAATTTAGGAAAATACTGAAAGGAAGAAAACAGAACTCGCCCATACTGCTCACTGTTATTA